CATATTGTATTTGAGGGCCTTGGCTTTCCCATGTGTATGTTGAGGCTTACTGATGCAGAGACTGTTGCTTCACTGGCTGTCTTTAACTGCATTTGTTGGTGTGTATGAGATCGAACAGCTAGGTTATCTGTAAAATGCAAATCGTTTAGTCTTATCCAACCTGTCCATTGTATTCCGTGTTTTCCCTCAGATGTCGATTTGTTCATAATCCAGTCAACCACCAAAAGAAAGAGAAAGAGAGAGTAAACTGACTTGTCTGACTCTGTTTCTCACTTGGAATGTATCTGTCAGCTGTCCAACATGCACAATGTTGTACTGTAGCCCATCGTATGAGTTCTGGATAATGTTGACAATCTTCTCAAAAACTCCATAGTTTCGAAAAAGTTTCCATAATATTCTCCTATCTACACTGTCAAACGCCTTTTCAGAATCAATGAAATTGATATGGCATTTGATGAACTATAATTAAGTATTTTATTAATATATAAATTATAATCACATAATGATTATTATTCTTAATTGATTATGTAATAGATTCAATAAGGCTTAATAAGAATTTATCAATGTTAGTTCATTTGGACTCATAGAAATACTTTTTGTTGTTACAATGAAATAATCATAATACATAACTGTAAAACTAATCTTATTAAGGTCAAACAACATTTTTTCTATCAGTATTGATTGAATGGTACCGTGAAGGAAAGGAATTCACAAGTATTGATATATATTATAATGATTATTTCATTTAATTGAGATACAGATTTGATTAAACGCCTGGTGCGAGACTGATAGGTCCTGGGTTTGAATCCCGCAAAGCGGGTTCGTGGATGCGCACTGCTGAGGAGTTCCACAATAGGACGAAACGGGCGTCCAGTGCTTCCAGGTTTTCCATGATGGTCTAGCTTCAATTGACACATGATCTTAACTGTTGAAATTAATACAATCTCCACAAAACCCCTTCTGATACAGATTTATGTAATGAGGATAGAAGACCTATGGTTTATGTTATTCATTTTGTAGTATACTTCTGTGAGTGTTTAGTCTTCTGTTGAATGAGTCAATTGAAGATGCGGAGAGCATTTTTTAGGTAACAAGTTCCAAGAATTGATGATTTAGTGTGAAAATCTGTATATTCTGGGTATTTTTGTACGTTCTTGGCTTTTTTACTCACCTGCTATGTCCTCTGAGATGTCCCAATCTAGTAGGAAGAAAAAGACAGGATATATTAAGTTAAAAATCATTTCTTAGTATACTATACATCAACATCACATCATCCCTTAATCTGTGATAGGATAGAGTAAAGAGGCCTAGCTTCTCACAGTTAACATACTGGTACTGAAGTCAGATATTGAAGCAAATGCAAACATGCTTCACCTTCTATTCAAGAAGATTTGAGAGGAGGAACAAGTGCCGACGAACTGGAAAGGACATCTTATCAAGATACCAAAGAAAGATTTGAGCAAACGTTTGGACTACAGGGGTATTACACTACTGTCGGTACCAGGAAAAGTTTTCAAGATACACAAACGAAAAGCAAGATCCTCAAATACAACACGGAGAACATTAATCCAATCACACTTGACGGCAAGACTCTGGAAGATGTGGAATCTTCCAGGCACCCGGTCAGTATTATCGATGAACAAGGATGATCCGATACAGACGTAAAGGAGAGGGGTTGGCAAGGCAAGGACAGCATTCCTAAAGTTAAAGAACATATGGAACTAAAAAAATATGTCTGTCAATCAATATCAAAGTTACAATCTTCAATACGAACGTCAAAACTCTCCTACTGTACAGAGCTCAAACTTCAAGAACTACCACAACCATCATCAAAAGGTTACAAGTATTTATAAACATTTTACCACACAAGATACTCAATGTCCGTTGGTCAGATACCATCAGCAACAGTCCACTGTGAGAGAGAACAAACCAAATCCCAACTGAACAGGAAGTTAGGAAAATACGTTGGAAGTGGATAGTACATACATTACGCAAATCATCACACTGCATCACGAGGCAAGCCCTAACTTGAAATCCTGAAGGGAAGCGGAAAAGAGGAAGGCCAAAGAACATCGGGAATCGAAAGTAGACATGAAAAAGTTAAATAATAACTAGAAAGAAGTGGAAAGGATTGCCCAAGATAGGACTGGATGGAGATTACTGGTGAGTGGCCTATGCTCCTCCATGAGGAGTAACAGGTGTAAGTAAGTAAGTAAGTAAAAAAGTAAGATTATAGCGACTCACGTGCAATCGAGTTTAGTTCAGTCAAGGCCTTTTGTTGACCTATTTAATGGACAAAGTCATCCATGATATAACAACTTGTTGTACTATCTTTATTATTATGCTTGTATGAAATACATATGCTTGAACATTGTTTAGCGCCTACGCATGTATTCATTCGGCTAGCTTCATTATTAACTGCTTATTCTATTCGCTGACTCATCCATTTTCCTATACATATATATATGTGTACATTTGCACCCATCTACTACTACAACTACTACTACTACTACAACTACTTGCTACTGTTACAATCGTAGCTCGCTTGCTCATTCATTTTGCCTCTCTGCTGTCTGGTCCGAATTATCTACTAAATAAACTGTAGTAGCTGCTTCTTTTTGCCTTCTGATTTCAAACATCGTTGAAGATTATACGATAACGGTTCGAGGGTGATTAATTATCGAAGCACAGCCACTACAGAATTGGTAATCCCGACGTGAGAACGGGAAGCGAATTTTGGCGAAATAATCAAATTCCAAAAATCCGACTACCTTCATCTCAATTTGGATTATCAAATGAACTATAATTACAACTGTGGATTTATATTATTATTCTAATTACACTTACATTATTTCGCAAACATTATTAAACGTGACAATTATAATCATAATAAATAACAATTATCCATAAACAATTGATATATTGGTGCAATTTAGTAAGTCTGTTCCATTTTATAAATTGTGCCATTTTTTTATTATCATTGTTTCTGCCCGTCTATTCTTCCTTGTGACTGTTAAGTTATTTTCGTGTGCTACTTAATTTTTATAAGCATGTCTTATGAAAACACAGTTTCAAGCGTACAGCAAGCCTCGTCCGTGAGGTCTCTTAACCTCCCTGCCCCTTCTTTTAAAATCACAGACCCAAAACTTTGGTTTATAAGACTTGAAAATTATTTTCTTGCTAACCGCATTCTTTTGCAAAAGGATAAGTTCGGCCTGACAAGCACACTACTCCCAGACGAAGTAGCTGACAGCGTTCGAGAGGCACTAGCAAAACCAGACACAGAAAAACCATACGACGTGCTAAAAGAGGCAGTAATTAAAACTCTCTCTCTCAGTGACCAACAAGCCGTCGAACAACTCCTTAGCCAAGTACAAATCGGAGAGAGAACCCCATCACAGCTAAAAAACTATATGAAAAGTCTACTTGGCGATAGACACATTGACAATAATCTCTTTTATCAACTGTGGCTCCGCCGACTCCCGGCAAACATACAACAGATCCTAGCTGTGGGAGATACGGATGCTGGTTTAGACAATATAGCAAAGATAGCCGATAGAATATACGAAAGAAGCAAGCAAGCAAGCCCTCCACTACACAACGTGACGGTAGACGAGAGACTTGATACTCTACAGAAGGAAATAAATGTTTTATGCCGCAAACTCACAGAATTAACGCAGAGAGAAAAGCCACGAAGGTCATTGCGAGATCGCTCGCGTGAAAGGACCCGGTCAACTTCTAGACGACGCACAACTCCCGCGATATGTTGGTATCATCAAATGTTCGGCTACAGGGCTAGAAAGTGCCTACAACCTTGTAGATTTAACAGGGCTAGTAACCCATACCCTCGAGTATCAATGGCAACGGCATCAACACACATAATGCCTGAAAATAGTCGCCTCTTCTATATACAAGACCGAACCACTGGCGCACAATTCTTAGTTGACACTGGAGCGGAAATTAGCGTAGTACCTCCATTTAACGAGGAAAGAAAAAACATTAATCCGTCATTAGTGCTAAGAGCAGCAAACAAATCAGATATTAAGACATATGGTAAACGGAAATTGTCCCTAGATTTTGGACGTGGCGCTTCATACCGCTGGAACTTTGTCATAGCAGACGTATCGATGCCCATAATAGGCATAGATTTCTTATGTAACTTTGACCTGCTAGTAGACTCTAGACGACACAGACTTATAAACGGCAGTCAAACCACTTCGATAAGAGGAATACTTACGGAAGACGTTTCAATGAACCTTGTGATAGATAAAAGTCGTGGTGATCCATATAAATTGTTGTTAAGGGAGTTCCCTGAACTCGTAAAAGTAACATACAATAAAGCGGATCTCAAACATTCTATTCAGCATCACATCGTAACGAATGGTCCACCAATCAATGCAAGACCACGAAGGTTAGATCCCAAAAGACTAGCCATCGCAAAACAGGAATTCGACAAGCTAATGAGGCTAGGCATTATAAGGCCATCGAGCAGCCCGTGGGCATCCCCGCTACATATGGCCCCGAAAAAGAATGGAGAGGTTAGGCCATGTGGAGATTACAGAGCACTGAACAAACAAACAGTAGCTGACAGATACCCTATACCGCACATTCATGATTTCACCTACAGTATTGAGGGCACTACTATCTTCTCGAAGATCGACTTAGTCAGAGCATACTACCACATTCCTGTTGCCCCTCAAGACATACCGAAGACAGCAGTAACAACCCCATTTGGGCTATATGAATTCCTGCGTATGCCTTTTGGACTGACTAACGCGGCACAAACCTTTCAACGATTTATCGACCAGGTCATTAGAGGTTTACCTGGAGTATACGCGTATATCGACGATTTACTAGTAGCTAGCACCACTAAAGATGAGCATATACAACAACTACGGCAATTATTTATGCGACTCAGAGAACATGGCATTTCTATAAATATTGAGAAGTGTGAATTCGGAAAAGAATCTTTACAGTTCCTAGGTCACAATATAACTTCTCAAGGCATCACACCAATAGCAACAGAAGTCGACGCCATTAGGAATTATCCTCTACCCGACTCATGGAAAAAGTTACGCCGATTTCTCGGGTTAATAAATTATTACAGACGATTTATCCCGAATTGCGCGTCAATATTGCAACCACTAACAGATGCATTACGCGGAAACGCACGGACATTCCAATTATCACCAGACGCGATTCAAGCATTCGAGAACGCTAAAAAAGCACTAAATAAAGAAGTGACACTAACTAGACGAAAGAGCGAAACACCGTTAGCTATCATGACGGATGCATCAGACGTAGCGGTAGGAGCCGTTTTACAACAATTAGTAAATGGCATATGGGAACCGCTCTCATTTTTTTCGAAAAGACTGAATCCGACACAAACAAGATGTAGTACTTTCGGAAGAGAACTCCTAGCGATTTACTTGGCAATAAAACATTTCCGACATATGATTGAGGGTACCATTTTCACAGTATATACAGACCATAAACCCCTCACAAAAGCATTGAACTCCAAACAGGACAACTACTCGCCGAGGGAAATCCGACAATTAGAATTTATTTCCCAATTCACGTCCAACATACAGTATATCAAAGGTAATAGTAACGAAGTGGCAGACGCGTTATCCAGAACGATGGTCAACGCTCTCATCCAGTCTGAAATCGATTATCACAAGTTAGCAGCATTACAAAATATCGACGTCGAGTTAAACAGACTAAAGTCTGCCAACACAACCTCGTTAGTTCTCAAAGAAACTCCATTGGAAGAAGTAAGCATCACCTGCGATATTTCTACAGGTCAACCAAGACCATTTATTCCAAAGCCGCTAAGGCGAAACATTTTCGAAGCTATGCATAATATTTCGCATCCCGGAATAAAGGCCACCATCAAACTAATTAGCGAACGTTTCGTATGGCCAAGTATGAATCGGGATATTCGTAATTGGACTCAAGCGTGTATAAAATGCCAGAGAGTTAAGATACATCGCCACACCAGTTCCGCAGTAGGTCATTTCCGTCATCCCGATAACAGATTCGAGCACGTACATATCGATATTATAGGACCACTGCCGGTTTCGAATGGTTTCAGTTACATTTTCACTTGCATTGATAGATTCACACGATGGCCTGTAGCTGTGCCTATAAAAGATATTACAGCCGAAACTATCGCAAAAACCCTAGTAGAGCATCGGATTTCCCATTATGGTGTACCTACTAATATTACAACCGATAGAGGAGCTCAATTCGAGAGCCGCCTCTTCCAACAACTCACAGAACTACTCGGAATCAAACGAATTCGCACAACATCCTACCATCCGATGTCGAATGGTATGGTAGAGAGATTGCATCGGCAACTTAAAGCTTCTCTTACAGCCGTCATCAGCAATAACGATTGGGCCAGCAAGCTACCGTTAGTCATGTTGAGCTTAAGATCAACAATCAAACAAGATATAGAATGCTGCCCAGCAGAGTTGGTTTATGGAACCACACTACGTCTGCCAGGAGAGTTTTTCACTGCAGGTAAAAGTGTCCCAACTGATATAGCGGACTATGTACAGCGTCTTAAGCAGCATATGAGTAGTCTAAGGATAACGCTTCCGAGACAACATCAACGCCGTGTGTACATACCCAAACAACTAAGTGACAGTACCCATGTGTTTATCAGAAGGGATAATGTGCAACGTCCCTTACAACCGGCCTACGATGGTCCATTTAAGGTGATTAAAAGAGACGACAAAACTATTACGGTAGACAAAGCTGGAAAAACGGATGTAATTAGCATCGACCGAGTCAAACCAGCTTTCATCGAAGCCTGCGATCAGCCAGTACAGACAGATACTGCGAAAACCGTTGAATCATCGAAACGTCAGTTCCAATCATCAACGACATCGACGAACACAAACAAAGAGAATCCAGTAACCACAAAGTCTGGTCGAAGAGTAAGATGGCCCCAACGTTATGTCGCTGCAATCTTCTATTAATAATCTTCTACTATTTTAAATATTAATTATAACTTCCACTTCATTGTATACACATGCATTACTAATTTCATGTTATACGCTATAAACCTCTTATGTACCCCTACACTTACACGTATAATTTTTATTTAAAATGTAAAGCAATACCGCATTCCTTCTATTTATTGCTATTATTTTTTATAACCTCACGGACGGGCACAAACCAAATGTACAGCACACACTAACTTCATCTTAATTTTGTACAAACCATTTTTTTCAAACGACTGTAACTACCCTACTCAGTTTACTATTTTTTGTGCAAACACAGACATTTTTCCATATATCTTTGTTTGCAGGGGGGAGCTATTATAGCGACTCACGTGCAATCGAGTTTAGTTCAGTCAAGGCCTTTTGTTGACCTATTTAATGGACAAAGTCATCCATGATATAACAACTTGTTGTACTATCTTTATTATTATGCTTGTATGAAATACATATGCTTGAACATTGTTTAGCGCCTACGCATGTATTCATTCGGCTAGCTTCATTATTAACTGCTTATTCTATTCGCTGACTCATCCATTTTCCTATACATATATATATGTGTACATTTGCACCCATCTACTACTACAACTACTACTACTACTACAACTACTTGCTACTGTTACAATCGTAGCTCGCTTGCTCATTCATTTTGCCTCTCTGCTGTCTGGTCCGAATTATCTACTAAATAAACTGTAGTAGCTGCTTCTTTTTGCCTTCTGATTTCAAACATCGTTGAAGATTATACGATAACGGTTCGAGGGTGATTAATTATCGAAGCACAGCCACTACAAGATAACAGATATTGCTTATAGATGAATGCTAATAAAAATTAGCCTTATCTCACATAATAAAGATTTTATAAATATAAGGCTGAACGTATTCTTATATTTCCATGCTTGAAGAACACATGGCTTAGTGAATGTTTCACAAATTCACGTATAAGATGTAAAACAAAAATGGGTAATATCGGATGACTGCTCTTATCTGACACATTCAACGAAACGGATTTGATACATACGTACCAATAATCATGTTAGTCATTCGATGTAGGAGAAACGATAAAAATTGAAGAGGGAGATTAATTATGAATACAGTGGTCTTGAGTGCTGTTAGAGGCATAAGGACGGTCATCACTTCCGGGCTGCCTACACCTTGTAAGGGTCCTTCTGGAGGTACCTGAAAACGAAATTGGATTAGAGATGGTCTTAATGACCTGAGAGCGCGACCACAGTGCCCAAGAGACAACTGCTTGAGGTCAGTCACACACGACCTTTTTATGAGTAATTTTCGTGTTAGCTCCACACATGTTGAGACCTTACCACTGGAGACGGATATCCGTGAGATAAGGTGAGGTGTGCATTTTTAAGTTCGACCTTTTCTAACCCAACCCCTCCTTGTGGGAAGGCAGAATCGCCGTCATGCTGGTTGTCTAAAGGAAACACCTGACTGCTGTCACACCTCTGTACAGTCAGAAGTACGACTTCGCCTTCGGACATTGGGTTTATTACTTTTAGTCTTGCCGTTCTTCAAGCAATATTGAATAACGATTGTTTCAGCCAGCATAGATCGATTGGTTCATCATGATAGGCAAGCCCGACCACCACGTCAAGCTAGTAACAATGGTCGGGCGATAATCATGTCCATATAGTACTGCATATTGTGTGCACGAAAAGACTGTAATAACCTCGTTAACCATGCACAAGAACGATCGCGATTGGGTTAGTGAAATAAAAAATACAAAACGGAACGGATACAATTGTAAAACTAGTTCATGAATAATTAATGTTAAAGGTAATGACGGCTGAACGATCATTGAAAATACAGAAAAGGTATATGGAATGCAAATAACAATGATTTATTGATGCATTTTGTGTCGAATTAAAAGATAAATATTGAAATTAGTGTATGCGTAACTCTAAAAAGAGCCTCCTATCAATATCTTGGTTCCAACCCCACAATCATTCCATCTCCCCATTTCCTTATTTCCTCAACAATTACCTTATGAAATAGGGATAAAAACGTTAGATTCTTAGCTAGTAACTGAAATATAAATTTGCCATTTTACCTGTGATACTAAGTTTTAGCACGGCCATGTCTTCCACCACACTTCTGTAATTGTGCTACATAATGGTCAATCGAATCAGGGACTTGAGGTTGCGTGTCTGAGCCACAAGACGAATGAAGAACAGCATTGCAGTAATAAGCCATTCAAGTTATTTCTTCAGCGGTCGCACTTGACGACTGAGCAAGGTGGCATATGTCACATAGTCTGTTGGCATAAGAATCTTCGTCTATCTTGTCATTGAATTTCCCCGAGTCTATAGAAACATCTTCGTCGTGACTTAGAGCTGTATCCAAAGCCACACCCATTCGATGGTTGGTAATATTTATCAGTTGAATTCCTAGTATTTCTTCATCCATAAAAGTGGAAACTTTGGCATGAGGCTCTGGTTCTGCTGATAACTTCAAAAGTGCTTGAGGTATTCTTTAGATGCTCATAGAAATGAGAATCACGAACCGTGTAACCGTGTCATCCTTTCATAATTTCTGATAGTGATTAGAATGCTCGAAACAATATAACTAGTACTTAGCTTGTGACTTCAGATAATATTGAGGCAGTCCGCATAGAATGCACATACGCCAACATGAGACTGATCATTTGCAGCCTTAAATAACAATGGGAAGATACAAGTAAACAACACTAAGTGAATATAACTTTACCCCATTGCATAAGCAGGTGACTATCAGGACTCAGTAGCTAAGTGAATAACGCAATGGTGTTTGAAGCGAACGGTACTGGGTTCGAGTTCTGGAGTGAGCTTTAACTCTGGGATGCAAATACATCCATCTGACGGGTCCAAAACAGAACGAAACGCGTGTCCTGGATTCCACTGCTAGACACTATCCATCTTTGTTTAATAACTAATAGTGTACACTTCCAGAGAATGAATTAATGAAAAGTCGAACGTGTCAAAGTCACATGTTATCTAACTGATACCTGTCATATGTGTATATATGTGTGCGTTTCCATAGATTTAAAAAAGAATGCAGAAAAACTAACGAAAGAGAAATAGAAACCCGTTGAAAAATAGAAAATAAGAAATGAATCGAGCGAAGAAAGTTAGGGGCGGCCAAACCAAAACGTGGCATTAGTGCTTGAAGACACTAACTTTTAGTCTGAGCCCAAAATTTAACTTTTTAACGTTGGTCATACACAACCTTTTAGTGATTTGATTAAGGCATGATCTTAATCTCTCTTAATTTTTCTTTTTTTCTTTCTTTCCTTTTTTCTCTTACATCCATGTGTTTTTCTTCCAATACACTGATAATGAATGACTTAAGCTCTTAGCAACTACACTATCATTATCTCCCTTAATAATAATAATAATGTTTCCTCTCCTTCATCTATTTTACCTTACTGTTAACATGTTTAACATAATTTAATTATCACTGTTATTCTCATTAGTATTCGATTGTACAGTTTGGTGATAAGAGAGGATTAAAAAGGTACAATTACATTCTTTTTGTCTCATTATTGATTCTCATTCAAGTATTGCTTCCATCTTCTTAATTCAATATGGTGATTATTCAGTGTAGTAGAGAAGATTTGTAACTGAGATGGATGATTTTGATGGAAGTTTGCTCTGTGAATTGGATAGTTTGATCGTGGAGTTTTCATTTGTTCTTCTGAATAAGATGATCAGCACAAACTTCCGGTAGAAGTGAAGTGAGAAAGTAAACCATGACAGGTTAAAGGTTAGCAATAATCAATCAACATCGTGGTCTACAGAACAAACTGTGAGCTGTATATGGAGAAATTTGAACACCTCACTACTATTGAAGTTTGTATGGTAGATAACTTTAAAAGCTTTATTCAGTTCAACTTGATGACCTGTGTCAACCAAGTGAGCGAGAATAGAACACTTAGTCACTCCTGCCCATGACAGATAATGCTCTGTTATACGATGATACGTGGTTGAGCAAAAGACAGGTAATAGTGACTAAGTGTTCTATTCTCGCTCACTTGATTGACACAGGTCATCAAGTTGAACTGAATAAAGCTTTTAAGGTTATCTACCATATTCCATCAAATTTACCACATGATTTACGAGTACGTCTTTTACACATTATTGAAGCCATCACAATCCATGTTCACAAACCTAAACTTTGCATCCAAAAGAAGTTTGTACAACCACTTTCGCTACCATGTCCAGCGGTATAGGGGCATTTGTAGCAGAATATTGATAAACTATCGAAATTTATTAAAGGGACTAATTGTTTTAAATTTCTTAAAAGAAGACTCCCTGCACAAACTATTTTCGTAATTCTTCCTTCTCCTTATTTTTTTTTAACTTCGTATTTTACTTATTCTCAACATTCATCTCTTGATTCTTACATAACTACTATTCTACTCACCATTCGTCAAAATATTCTGTTCCTTCTCTTTTTTTATATATATTATGCAACGTAGCAACTGCTTGATCTTCGAATAATTACTTCGATTAGTGTTAATCCTCTTTCTTTCAATTACTCAATGTTAACTTCTAGTCGATATGTCATTCTGTAAGTATTACGTAACGTATCCACTCGATGTCAGTCAGTCAGTCAGCTACAACGTAGGACCAGGAACATATATGCACGGTCCAAGTTGCCATACCTCATTAACACAACAAGATGGACGCCGGATTCATAAAAGTAGTTAATTCAGAGGTGGTAATATATAAAAGAAAGATTGCAATAAGGATATAGTACAGGAAGAAAGAATTAGTTGGTAGAAAGAAAGATATGAAGCGATTTTAATCTCTTAGTTTAAGGGAAGACGGAGAGTGTATACACCCACGCCATTGTGATCGATTCTGAGACATGTCACCAAGAGTCTCCAATCATTGGTTAGGATAGTCACACGGACCCCAAATTTATTTCACTGGGTTGTACTTCTTCAATAACATCTTCAAACCCGGATGTTTCCGATTACTGTTTACACTCATACTATCTCTACCACTATGGGATTCGAATCGACAACTGTATCTCTGTGGTAATGCGGTGTGGCAACTCGAACTGATGTACGTACATACGAAGTTCTACGTTGTTACTGACTGACTGACCAGTTAAAGAACCCATCAATGAAAGGGTAGTTGTTGCTTCAATGAAGAACAGAATAGTAATGGAAGATCTGACAACTAAATACAATAATAATCATTGTCAAACAAATAAATCAATCGTTGGGAGACAGATCACATCAACATGATAATGATATGGAGGAGTGGGTCTTTAGAGTAAAACATAATTGAATTGAATGTGTTGATTATGGGCAATATTCAACTACGATAACTACTAATCAGTGGGAAGAGAATGTCTTTAACCATGGACATGAATAGAGGTATTCTGGAATGGAATAA